TCCAATCTTAATTTTGATTTTGCAGAATGCTGCTGATTTATTTTCCAAGCTGTAGTGCTCTTTTAGGAAAGCCACAGTCTTTTTTTCAGACTTTCTATTTCCCTAAAACCCCCAAAAGCATTATTGGCAGCTGGGACAGCTATTGTCTCATCAATTCCCAGGATTTCCACAGTGGTGGCCAGGGCTTCAGGGAGCTGGCTGAACATGGATGGAAATAAGAAGAGCGAACAAAGAGTTTAAATAGTTTAGTGTGTAAACTGGTTTATATAAAGATAGGCTTGCTTCTCTGCCTCTTGTTTTTCATAAATACAGTTGTGGCTCCAAGGATTGTGTTGGTTTTGAATGTTAGCTTTGGCACTCTTTCAAGATTCTAGACATGCTGTCTATTTATAAAGAACTCAGGGGATTAGACTAAATAAGAGTAAATCAAAAGTTAAGGGAACAAGTCTAGACATTGAAGATCGTCACCTCCGTAAGCCATAGGAGGACTTATCTTTTAGTTTCATCTTAGGAGCACTTGTTTCTTCTTAAGAAAGTAGATACTCTTCTATAACATGAGGGCTTACAAATGAAGTTAAGGAAGTATACTAGCTACCAAGGAGAGGGAATGGAGCAGAGCAGCTGTGGAGAATCCATGGCAATAGAAAGACTACCTATCCCTTTCCCCCTAGCCAAAAGACCACTGTCAATTTAGAAATTTTAAGCCCTATATGATAAGAATTTTTAGCAGAAGTATAATTTTCTTTAAGTGAGTTAAAATTATGGTACATTATCTACTAATTTTTTTTTGGATATCCTACCATATAATGTAATAATGTTTTAACTTTAATATGACCTTGACAACAAACTGGAAAAACACAGTGCTTTTTCATAGGCACTAGGTCCCTTTCAGAGGTAAAAGTGAGTACTGTGCCTTACCCATGCGAGATACTCCATAATTGATCACATGGACTTGGGAGTGAATGAATCAAATTTTCTTTCCAGAGGAGTTAATTCCAGGTAGTAAAACTCTGACTCGTTCTTAAGGTATAAATAAAAACACTACACTTGGGAAAAATATATATATATGACCTCTAAAGACTTACAGCATAAGTTCATACTGTTTTTACTGTTCTGTTCATGTTAATGTTAAATTTTGGGGGGGAACAACAATTATAGTCTCTATAATTCAGTTTTAGTGATATTTGTTTAATTATGCTCTCCTAATTTTGATATAAGGAATATTATTTCTTAATGGAATATAATTTTTTATCCATAAGTTTGCTTCATACACTATAATTGTGACATTGTATTCTTAATTATGTGCTCATTTTACAGTTCTTATATTAAGAAATTGAAGTACATGCCTTTCTATTTGGTATTACACTCTTATTTATTGAATAAGGTTAAGTTTCTAGTTCTGAATAACATTAGTACCATTTACCAATTTTAGATGGAATTCATACTAATCCCTGAAGTGTAATACACATTAAAATTTAGAAATTTTGGCACTTGAGCCCTTAAAGGTATTTTCATTCTAAGCCAGTTAGTATGGTGATACCTAACTAAAAATGGATTAGTATAATTTGTTCTTTTGGCTCTATATTCTGTTTCTTCGTTCTCCTTAATCTTTTCTTTAAAAAGTAACTATAGATAGCAAATAGAATGATGGCAACAGAAATCAGACTGCCTCTTTCCTGCTCCCAACTCTAACTCATCTACTTCGGACCCAAGCAACTCCTAGAGGTTCTCAGCCATGAGACCCGTTGTGATTCTTTCCTTCTTCTGGGACAAACTCAAGGTTCAATCAGTGTAGCAGAGCCCTTGGAAAGAATTTGAGAGGCAGGTGACTGATAAGAGATTGCAATCCCATATCCATTCAACTTATTCACTAGTAACGGTAAAAGAAAGATATTTGCAAATGAATAAAAAGTGAGAGAACATTCATATTTGATACCCTATCCAAGAAAAATGCTTGAAAAATGACTTAAATATTTATAAGAGTAAAAATATTTATAAAATACAAATTTTAAAAGTCTGGCAAGTCCAGCAATGTATTTTTCCTCATAGTTGAAGTTCTCCCTGTATTGCCAAAATTTAGCAAGTTATATTTGTATAAGCAAATGTATTTAGAAGGTCACCATATTTCACCTACTAGGACAAATGTATTGTTTTGGACAGATTTTTCTTTTGAACAGAATTAAAAACTCATCTTTATGCTTTTATATCTATGGGATTAATTGCTTTGACTTCATGACTATCCTAGTGATTTAGTTAGAAGGATCCTGAAATTTGGAGTCAGAAGGTCTTTAATTTCAGTCTGCCATTTACTAGTAGAGGCAAGTTACTAAACTGCTCTGGTTTTCTTTATATTTGAATATGAATCCTATATTATAGATTGTTAGAGAAATTAATGAAAATATAAATATGTCTTAACAGGCATTTTTTATCAGAAACATCAATCATCTTTCTTTAGGAGTGGGAATTACCATATTTTCAAGAAAGTGGTTATAAATAGAGGGTGGTGGGAGCTGCCACAGAGGGGAATTTTGTAGGGTTGGAGACTTTAACAATATTGTTTTTGGTGGGGGGCAATATGGGTACTCATCATCCTGCATATTTTTCTATGTCTTAAATATTTCTGAATTGTTAAAATAATTTTCCTAATGAAATGCATGAAACTTTCCCATGAAATATCTTTTTTTTTTTTTTTAAAGATTTTATTTATTTGTCAGAGAGAGAGAGGGAGAGAGAGAGCGAGCACAGGCAGACAGAATGGCAGGCAGAGGCAGAGGGAGAAGCAGGCTCCCTGCAGAGCAAGGAGCCCGATGCGGGACTCTATCCCAGGATGCTGGGATCACGACCCGAGCCGAAGGCAGCTGCTTAACCAACTGAGCCACCCAGGCGTCCCTCCCATGAAATATCTTAACCAGTAAAGTGTCTTAACATTTTTCTATCTAAGGACTTCCTAGGACACTCTGAAATGTATGCTTCATAATTCTTAGCTTGGTTGAGACCTGCTAGTTAGAATATCATTTCCTTCATGCCTTTCTACTTATGTTATATTGCACAAAGTATCACGTTTTTACTGTGTGTTTTAAGTAGATGGCAGAGGTCACAAATTGTCTGTTTGGGGATTGAACCTGGCTCTTAGAGGTACTCTGTCCCACACAGTAGGGTCTTTATGGAAACTTAAAGTCTCATGAAAAATCAAGGAATGTTGTAACCCTGAGTTTGCATTTCTGTATGACAACAGTGAGTTGGTGCTGAGTCTCAGCTTCTGCCTTGAGTAGGCCACATGCTGCACTGTTCTGCACCCTCACCGTGCTCCCTGATACTAAGGCCAAATGTCATTTGCCTTTTGTCATCATAAATGTTTATATAAACTGCTTGGCCCCCAATGGCAGTTGAGTTTATAGCTCTTAGAGAACTTGCATTCAGGAGATGTCACAGTCTTCTATCGATAGTTTGCTGTGATATCTTGAGGTTACATATTTTCAGTACTTGGTAACTTTATAAAGCTCACTTGTGTAGCATTTTCTCTACACACACAACATAAAGTACTGTTTTTAAGTTTGTCAGCTCCTCATTCGGTCCTATCCATTCAGTCCTTTTGTGTTACCAAGTAATTATTTCTCAAATCTAGTTCTTCCTGTCCAGCCTTAGCACCACTGCTCCACCTCAGGCCCTCATCATCTCTCATTGCTTTCTCGCTGAGCTAGTAACCTCCAGTCACATTCCTTTCAGTTCATCACCAAGTGAATTGCTAAAATAGTACAGATCTCCTCTCCTTCACCACTGTTTCAAATTGTTCTGAGTCTGTCTGTCTTCTATGGGAAGATCTGCAAATGTTTCCCTAAAATGTTTCCCTACTGATCTGCAAATGTTTCCCTACTGTTCCGCAAATGGTAAATAGTTTAGGCTTTGCTGGCCAGAAGTTTCCTGCCACGAAAAAATTGATTCTGCTGTTGTTGGACTGAGCACAAAAGCACCCATAGACACTATACAAACAGAGGGGCATGGCTGTTCCAATAAAACTTATTTACAAAACCAGGTCACTGGTCTAGAGCCATAGTTTGTCAACCCTTGTTCTAGGATATGAAAGACTCTCCCTGTCTTTATTCTTGTCTTAACTGCTACTCTTCTATCCTGTTTCTTACAGTTTTTTCAGAAGCACCACTCAAATTCTTAAACCTTGTACATCTTCTTTCTATATTGTATTTAATTCCTTCATTCAAACCATTTTTTCACTGAGAAATACTACAATATATCTTATACAATATATCTTATAAAATCTTATAATATATCTTATAAAATCTTAAATGATGTTATCATATTTAAACATGAGGTTATTTAGTCACTTGCTGACATCTTCATAAATGTATAGTGAAGTACAGTCTTAAGTGTTAAAAAGAGTTTTTAAACGAGTGTTTCATAAAAATCCATAACTTTGACACAACCCATGTTATGGCTTATGGCTTGGATCTATTTTAAAATAGATCTTTCAAGTAGTTAGGAAAGCAGAAAATATTTGATTTTAGGATACAACTTGCCTGAAGTATTGGAGGTCGAATTGCTACTTAAATTCTAATAGGTCACTTTACACCTTTCTATAGACAAAAAAATAACAGAACTTGATAATATGTTGTTAAATATATTAGCAGTGTGGGTTTTGCCTCATTATTACATTGCAGTTTTTAGGCTATCACTGATTGGTGCTATTTAGGTGCTGATTTACGCTATTGCTGATTGATGTTGGATAGTAAACAAAACCTCTTCCAGTAAAAAAATGAAAGAAATTCATTCGTGCATCATATAATGAGAAGTGTGATTTGATTACTATGGTGAGAGACTCAATAGATTGGTAGAGCTGCTGTGTGGAATTTTGTCAAGATGTGGACGGATATTAATAGTGATATGATAAAGTCTTCTAAATTTTCTGATATTTGCATAATAATACATTAATTTAAAGCTCTATATATTAAAATGACCTGTAAATGTCTTTTATGGTTGAATTTTAGCCACCAGCTGAACAAGCCAAAGCCAGACTGCAGCTGGTTCTTGAAGCTGCTGGTAAGTTTGCCTAATTTATTTAAATGAAAAAGTACTAAATAAATCTTAACATGCTTACAGGTGGGTCAAAGAAAAAACACCTATTTTCATATATCTTTACAAATTTATGAAATTTAGGTTATGTGTATGGCCAGATTTTATAGGAAATATTTATTGCTACAGTATAATGGTAGAAGGTCATTCTTTACCTTTTATTTATAAAATTGGCTTCAATTTTAATTTCAATTTTGATAAAGTCCAGTTTATTGATTTTTTGTCTTTTGTGAACTGTGCTTTTGGTGACATGTTTAAGAATTCTTTACCTAAACCCGCATCACATCATGAAAATCTCCTCCTGTGTGTTCTTTTAAAAGTTTTATGCTTTTACATTTAAGACTATGTTCTGTTTTGATTTAACTTTTGTATAAAGTGTGAGTTTAAATCATGTTTTCATTGTTCTAAAGAAAACAAGGTAAATGTAATATAATAGTTTTTCCAATTGCATTGGATAACTCTTAGACTGTTGTGGATACCACCTAACCTGAAAATACTGTATGTTTTGTTTTTCAAAGATACAGTAATGCAGTGAATTTGATTTTACATATAATGGCCAGATTTATGTAGACATTAAATATTTCACCTTTTCAAAAAATGTAAAAGATCAATGTTATCTTTTCTAAGTACTGATATTTTACTTTGAATCCTGTTGTGCTTTTAAAATGTATATAACCTATTTAAATAAATTATCAAGGTTAAGCATGAGGTAGGGTTAGAATAATAACACCAAAGTGGTATATATTTTTTAAAGTTATTTACTTTTTAAAGATCTGTAAAGCGTTCATAATTTCCAGTTGGAAAGTGAGAATTCTATTTTAATATCGAAAATAATTTCAGACTACCAGATGTTAGTAGTTGTATTTTTAGTGTTCATTGATTGATAAAATACATATGTGTATATTGATTCAAGGATTTCTTGGTTTAGCTTCTACACAGAGTGTCCACAGTTTAAAGATTGGAAGCACCAGTGTACATGATATACTAGCTTCATAAATCACTAACAGAAGTAACTTATAATAAAGGGATAAATATTGATAAATATTTTGACTGTGAGTCTCTATATTACTCCATATTACTTTAACAGTCCATTTTATCTTTAATTATATAGAAATTATAATTTCTATATAATATTATCATTTTGCTTGCTATCAGGTTTTTCATATTTTAACTCAAATATACTGTAAGATAAATTTAATATGATTATCATGCATATGATATACATTGATTCTTTAGTAGCATTTTGCTTTGAAAAATAATTTCCAGTAGATAATTTGAGTATGGACAAACTCTTGCTTTAAAGAAAATTTTTATGGTGCTTGGTCCAGAAAATATTTGTTTCCATTAATATAACTATAAAGAATTTCATTTCATGGTTTTATACAGTTATCTTTATCTTTTAATATGATTTTGAAGCATATTATAAAACAGATTTGATACTCTAAACTTCATAGTGTATAAGTTGTTTATATCGGTCCCAGCTGTTACCCTCATATTTTAATTTAACTTTTTAAATTCTGTTATGGATAAAGAGCTAGGTTCTGTGAATTTGAGACACATTCAAAATATTACGACAATTTACAAATTTAAAAACTTTTATTAGCTAGGTAAGCAAAGGACAGACCTTAGCTACATGTAGCATTATTTACTTAATAATTTTCTTCTTTATTTAACATGTTGTTCCCAGCATTTCCCTCTTATCGGTAACACTGTGATATATATCCCATTACAAATTATGTTTTCTATATTTTAGATTATTTTCTTGGACTTGATTTTCTTGGAATTGATTTCTTGGAATTTCTTGGAATTGATTGGAAATGAGTTTATGAAGTTAAAGGGTATTAATATTTAGAGTGACTTTTTATGCATTTTTTGCTAAATTGTTTGCAAAAGGACTGCACTACTTTCCATTTCCACTGATGAAGATTTTTACCAAGACTTTGCTTTTTGATGCCAATTCCATGAATATATTGCTTTATAATATGACATAACATATTACACCCCTTTGGAAAACATCCAGTACTGCTTTTAATGAGAACGTGTGGACTTGGAGAGAAGTAGGTGGGTGGATAGGGGAATAGCATAAAAAACAAATACAGAATTTGTCAAAGTTCTAGATGTCTTTCAGTGAAGGACACAAGGCGTTCATGGATTATTAAAAACAAATGAATAAAAGAAGGGGGAACATGATGAACTTGAGCTTAGGCTGTTAAAGTCTAGCCTACTTCTATGAACACTGAGGTACCTGGATAGGAAGATCTGGTAGCACCCATTTTGTCACATTGGAGAAAGTTTACTTGGATTCTCAGAGAGGACATCCTGACTTTGGGGCCTTAAAATTGAGTACAAGGAAAGGCTTAAAGCTGTATGTTAGATTCTTGAGACAGGATTTATTTCAGCTTTATAGTTACTATAATCTGGTAGATAGGGTTTCTGTATAAAGAAATCCTGAAGCTCCTTAGTCCTTTGTTCTAACTTCAGATCCCAAAGAAAGTTTTATATGTAACCATTGTATTGTTATTGATTTATGAGTGACTGTTAGTAATGTTATTGGTTTGGAATTAAAATATATTTGGAACATTTGGCAACAATTTTTGGTGGTATGATTTCGAAAAACATGTGTATGAGTGAAATAACATTAAGCAAAATGTAATTATAGGGTATCATGCATATTATGCCAAACATAAACTTGAAGTCATAGATTTTACTTTATTTGTTATGATCATATTTTTTATACATTAAACTTACATATTTATACTTTGTTATGCTAAATCTTCAGATTTAGATAGAATTTTTTTTCATGTTCATTACCAAATTACAGTCGAAACGAAATTTCATGTTTCTTGTTTAACTTTTAATTCAAAGGTGATGTGAAATTAAGACTATATCTAGAATTGCTTTTCTGTTGTTTGCAAATGGCAACAGGACACAAAAGGTTGAAGAATCGTATAAATTTGTAAGACTGAATCTTTAAGTTGTAACCTCAGGTAATGGTTTATTCTATGATATTGAGTAAATCCTATTCTATTAACTGTTTGTGCCATGCTTTCTTTTTCTTTCCATTTTAAAAATGCTTTTACCATTCTTCCATTTATTATGATGCAAAACTTTGAAATTTTTTATCTTTGACTTCTTAAGAGGCAATGATTCAACTAGAATAAATGATCTTATTTTTAAGTATTTTTTATATTTATCCTTTTAGTATCTTTCCCACTTTCATCTCCTTAGTCTAGATGCCAAACATTTCACCCACAGGTTAATCCATAATTTCCTAATTGGTCCCTAACATTAGTTCTCTTCTCCGGAGATGGTAGTGAAAAGTGGAAGGGTTCTAAGCCTACTTACACTGCTTACTCTTTGTGACCTTGGTGTTTATTGGTTAACCAAAACAGAGGTATTTTTAAAAAATGGAATATGACAAATGTGTATATTTTCTTGTTTACTATAGTTCTCTACTTTTTAAAAAAGTAATCTGTTGAGATGAAATTCACGTAATATAAGATTAATCGTGATTGTTTAAAGTGAACCAATCAGTGGCGTTAAATAGATTTACACTGCTATATAACTACCACCTCTCTCTACTTTCAAAACATTTCCATTACTCCAAAGTAAAACCTCTTACCTACGAAGCAGTTTCTCTCCACTCCCCGGACCCCCTGAAACCACCAATCTGCTCTGGGGTTTCTGTGGATTTATCTATTCTGGATATATATAAAAGGAATTATACAATGTGTGACCTTGTGAGTCTGGCTTTTTAGCATAATGTTTTGGTGGTACAGCCACACTGTAGCATGTGTCAGTATTTTATTTCTTTTTATGCCGAATAGTATTCCATTGTCTGTATATACACCATTTATTTATCCATTCATTTATTGATGGAAATTTGCGTTACTTCTACCTTCTGACTGTTGCAAATAGTGTTGCTATCAACATGCATATATATGTACTTGTTTGGGTACCTATTTTATAATTTTGGGTGTTACATACCTAGAAGAGCAATTGTGGGGTCATTTGGTAATTCTGTGTTTAACTTTTTGAGAAACCACCACACTTTTCCAGTGTCTGTGCAATATTACATTTTCATCAGCAATATATGACTATAGTCCCCTATTGTGTCAGCTAAACCACATCACACATTTAAATTACCTCTTTGAAAGTATTTAGCTTTGGGAACTTCTCTGTACCATAATTTACTCATTTGTAAAGGGGCAAGATTATAACTACCTCATAGGATTTTTGTGAAGTATAATATGTGAAATGTCTAGCCCAGAGCCTGGCAAATGGTAGCCACCAGAAAATGCTTATTTCCACATTGCTTTTTGTGATTACCACTGATAGATGTTTCTTTCTCAGCCACCATTTGGTCATGCTACTACATTGGCTCAAAATTAGTCATTGGCCCTCAGTTTCTTACAAAATTAATTTTACGTTTCTGTGCTTAAGGTTCCAGGGTTCTGTACAGTGGACCCACAGACTTTTCTATATTTATTAGAATTCATTTCTAAACTTCTCATTATTCTTTGAGTTACTTGTTCTTTTCTACCTATGAATCTTTGCTTATGATTTTTTCTCTTGTAGAAAAGACTTCCTCCCTCCTCTTCCCACCTCTAAACACTTTAAAACCAATCTCAAATAAGATTTCCACATGACTTTTGTGACCATGTCAGCACATAATCTTTCTCTTCTTTTTTGAATTCTTTTTGTCCTTGTCTGTGTATACCATGTCTACTCATACTTACTCACATATAGCTGATACTGATATTTAATTATTTAATGAGTGTTGAATTTATTTTCCCAGTGAAATAGTAAACATGATGGTCGGAAACCAGAGCTAAAACTTCTAAGTCTTTCCCAGGAGTTTTAGCAGCATCTATAGAGAGTGGCACTATGCCAGTTATGAATCCAGCTATTAATCTTTGGTGAACAAGGCATCATGAAGAAACAATCTGGACATAACTGATAACTAA